GCAACCCGGTCCCATCTCATATAGTACCATTGCAGGCATGCAACCTGCTCCCATTTCATATTGTACCGTTGCAGGCGTGCAACCTACTCCTATTTCATATATTATCGTTGCGGGCATGCAACCCGCTCCCATTTCATATAATTACTGTTGCAGTTGTGCAACCCGCTCCCATTTCATATATTTTCATTACAGGCATGCAACCCGTTCTTTTTCATATGTTACCGTCGCAAGAGTGCAACCCGCTCCCATTTCATATGTTACTGTTGCAGGCGTGCAACCCGCTCCCTTTGCATTTATCAATACCAATCATAACAAAATCCCGGCAAGGGAACAATAATGTAACAACAACATCCACGCAAGCGAATAATACTATGATAACAATATTCTGACAAGGGAACAATAATATAACAACAACATCCCGGCAAGGGAACAATAATGTAACAACAACATCCACGCAAGCGAATAATACTATGATAACAATATTCTGACAAGGGAACAATAATATAACAACAACATCCCGGCAAGGGAACAATAATGATAATCCTCATATGAAGCACAATAAACCTCAACAGAGTCACAACAATTACAATACAAGACTCACGAACATGCTTGTCACCGACGTATAGATACTCGTCACCATGTCTATATGTCGTACTCCACAATTAGCACATAGCAAATAAGACACAACTCCTAATCCCTCAAGCTAAGGTTAGACAAAACACTCACCTCGATGGCACGAACACAACTCAAGCCTCAACTATCGCTTTACCTCTTGATTCCACCACCACCTTGCTCGTATCTAACTACAAGTTGCTTAATAATATTAATAAGTGCTAAATGAAACATTTCTAATGCATGGAAATACGTTTTCTAAAGTTTTTCCCAAAAAGTCAACAATCAACCTTGGGCTCGCTTGGTCCAAACCCGAAATTCGGACCTAAACTTGATTACACATTCACCCCCGAGCTCGGATATATAATTGGTTTTGGAATCCGACCTCAATTTGAGGTCTAAATCCCCAAATTTCAATATTCTTAGGTTTTACCATAAATTCCCCAATTTTACCATGAAAACCCTAGATTCTAGGATGAAATCTTGTAAAAAGAAGTTAAGGAGTAAAGAAAATGAGTTAGAAATCACTTACTAATGTTTTGGAGAAGAAAGGTTGTTTGAAAAAATGCCTCTTATGTTTTTGGGGTTTTGAAAAATGATAAATAACTGAAAATCCCGTTTAAATATACCACTCTCAGACCCCCTATGCGGACCGCACAAAAACAAGTGCGGCCGCGGAGCTCACAATGTTGACTGCAATGACATGCTTTAGTATTTTGGCTATAACTTTCTCTATAGATGTCCAAATAGGCCATAATGATATAGGCTTCCGAAGTCAGACCAGTGAAATTCTTCCTCACCGCGGGCCACACAAAAAGATGTGCGGCTGCAAAGGCCCCTCCACGGTCAGCACAAAATCAATGCGGTCAGCACTGGCGGGTTCAGAGATCTGCAACATCTCTGGACCTACACATCTATGTTTTAAGCCTAAAACATCCCAGAACCTACCCAAAACTCACCCGAGCCCTCGGAACTTCAAACCAAACGTACATACTAGCTCAAAACATCATATGGACCTACTCGTGTGATCACATCATTAAAATAACATGTAAAATTATGAATTAAACCTCAAAACTCAACAGTTTCATCAAGAACTCTCAAAGTTGATAACTCTTCAACCGGAAGTCCAGCTCACCTCAAATAAACTCCGTTTTCACCAATTTTCACAGTTGTCTTTTAAATAGTATAAAAAGTTTGTATCAGGCTCTGGAACCAAAATACGGGCCCGATACTATTGGTTTCAAACATTAATCCTTTTCTTCATTTCTTAGATAATTCCGCAAAATAATTTCTTTCAAAAATTGATTTCTAAGGCTTGGGACCTCGGAATTCATTTCCGGGCATACGCCCAAGTCCCATATTTTACTACGGACCTCCTGAGATCATCGGAGCACAAATCCAGGTCTGTTTGCTCAAAATGTTGACCAAAGTCAACCGAAAATTAAATTTTTATCTCTAGAAATTTCTATTTCTCATCTTTTCACATAGAAGGCTTTCCGGATATGGGTTCGAACCACGTACGCAAATTAAGGTAAGGTAAAAAATGAGGTTTTTAGGCCTAAAAATACTGAATTTACTTGCAATACAAGTGATGACCCAAAGGGTCATCACAAAAGACAAACCATCGGTATTCGACTTATCGAAGATGATATTGTCTTCGAGGTCGTCATACTGTTCGTGAGCAACTGTCCGTTTGAGTTTATGTGTGGTGGTGAATTTCACATGGTCGATTATCATGTTGTCACTTCCGCCAATGATCATTTGTGTGGTACGAGCTGGTGATATGGGTTTTGGAAGTCCTTGAGGTTGATCGCGTCCCCGAGCAAAGTTGGCCCTTCCTCGATCGCTCAGCAGTTCTTTCAGGTATCCCTGATTTAACTTTCTTACCACTTCTTGTCGCAGACCTATGCAGTCTTAGGTCTTGTGTCCCCTTTCCTGGTGGAATTCACATAGAACGTTCGACCTCTTGGTGCTCGGATCTGACTTCATCTTTTGTTGCCACTGTACCTTCGTGCCGAGCTTTTCCAGTGCGTATACTATTTCTGAAGGAGAAACACAAAAGTTATGAGCAGATAACAGTGGAGGCATACCTCTTTCATTTCGGAAGGGTGCGGCATGTCGAGGCGCGACATTTGCGTGTTGTGGAGGAGGTGGATTAGATGTTCGAATATAGGGCTGGTGCCTTTCTCGATTAAAACATGGTAGTTGATCCCTTTGACTGTCATTGTGGCGATCTCTCCTTGTCTCAGTTTGGACTGATGTTAATCGCTGGAGCGGACCGTTCAGGTCATCCTCGTCTGCCCTCACTTCGGCACAATAAGCATTATGGATCTTTTCCCACGTAGTAGGGGGTATTTGATGAGTTTACTTAGTAGATTTTGGGTTGCTTTTGACCTGTTTCTGTTCAGCCCGTTTTGGAAGGCTGCTACTGTCATTCCTTCTAACACGTTCGGTAGGCTCATCCTTACCTTGTTGAATAGGGCTAAGATATCCCGAAGTCCCTCGCCCGTCTTTTGCTTGACGGCGAAGATATCATTGACCCTGGTCTCTGCCTTTTTCGCTCTCATGTGAGCGGTAATTAACTTATCTACCATCTCTTGGAACATTGATATAAACTGTGATGGTAGTTGGGAATACCATGTCAACGCTCCCCTTGTCAGAGTTTCACCGAACTTTTTTAGCAGTACAGACGGCACCTGTTCCTTTGATAAATCGTTACCTTTTACTGCGTAACGTAATGGATTAAGTAGTCTTCCGAGTCCGTTGTGTCATCATATATTTTTAAATATGGCGACATTTTGAAGGTCTTTGAAATAGAATGGGGAGCTACCCCTTTGCCATATGGTCGTTCGACGAATCGGCCCACATCACGTTTTGGTAACAACTTCGGAGCGCCTGGTATTTTATCGACCTTTTCCTGATGTTCCTTCATCTGGTCGCGGAGTGTTTTATTCTCATTTTCCATTTCTTCCATTTTCTTTAAGATGGTCGTAAGTGCATCGTCGCCTGCATCAGCAACAGTACGGGCGTTGCCTGTTCGTGTAGTGTTTGGCTCATCGGCAGCAACTACGGTTTTTGCGGCTAATGTGTCTTCGATGTCTCTCTGAACGGGTTTCTCGAGCATGTTGCTCAAGGTACTTGTCAACTATTCTTCTAGTATCCTTTTGACGGCAGGTGGCGCTTCTCCTGCTGCGGATGTTGAGGTTTCCCTCTCGCGCCAGATCGTTAGATCTTCGTGCGGGGGAGGTGAGATCTCTCCCTCAGGTGTAGCACTTGGTGTTGCGTTTTTGTTGTCTTCTCCACTAGCTTTGTTGAGGGAATTCAGAAGGTTGTTTGTGACATCCACTATAGCCTTTAGCCTCGCTTCTCCCTTTCCCGTCATTGTTAACCTTTATGAAGCTGAAGAAAAGTGATTATTTCTTTCAAGAATCTAGATGAAAACTACGATTTCAGCTATAGAAATCTACACAGAAGGCGCCAAATTGTTTGACTCAAAAGATATTGAAACCTTATTGAACAAATCAATCAAAGATGAAGGGGTTAATCTTAACTAAGTATAATAATCTATTGAAGGAAAAATAGATAAAGAGAAGACAGGTAATAAGACTTCTTTACCGATCTTATTTAGCAAAATCTTTTCTAGAAATCTTCTCATTCATAATTAATATTACAGCCAATATTCGGAATCCCCTTCTTAAAAGGTTATTGTCCTCTATATATACAGAGCGAAACTCTTCTAAGCTGTAAAAGACAAGTTACAAGGAATATTCCTAATGTCCCCTAATGGGTCTGCAGTATTACAAGGGTTGTACAATCTCTTGTTTGTCTTAAGGTCGTCTCCCACAGGACATCGAGTCACGGAGACCCCGTCATTCGTCGTACTCGTCATTGGTCGTGATAGGTCAAATTTGGACCAATACAATTATGTTCATTACTCTTAATTTCTAGATGAAGTGTATGAATTTAGAGTGCATACTCAAAATGAAAGCCCTAAACTATTCAGGATTTTCTATTTAGACTCCTCAACTAATAGACAACCTATAAATATTTTAAGTATGTGAACAGGACGGTGCGTAACATAGTGGCGTATAAAGTTGTGCCATGTGTTAAGTTTACGTCCCCAAATCAAACAGTACCTTCGCAACGTTCCGTTTTCTTGTCTCTCTCGTGGAAATCTTCTAATTCAATACAATATTAAAAAATTAGAATATTACGTGAAAAGGACGACAGAGTATTCTTGGATCGTTCTCAACGTGGTGGGGCCCTGAAAAGTTGTGCCATGTGATAATTCAATGAAATCTAGCTGGTATTAGGTCCACAAATTTATTATTATTTCGTATTTACTATTATTATTATTATTATATTTTCATTGAGAGCTTTCTGCGGGAAAACAATACTAATAAATTTGTTGTCGATTTTCTTTTTCCAACAATTTGTTGTATGAATATATAAGGCTGAACTTTCAGTTACTTTTTGAAAAAATTGGGCCATGGCCCTGACAATAAGAGTGCTTGATCTCCTAGTCATTTATTTGATGATCAGCTTCTTGGTTCTTCAGCAAAAAGCAATGCGCAAATACTGATGCTTTAAAATCCACAATTGATGAAATGCGGATTTGACAAAATATATCAGTTGGGTGATTCAATTTCAGATACAGGAAACTGCATCAGAGATAGCATTTGTGGAGCTCATACTGTATGTGGAAGATTTCCTTATGGAATGAATTTTTACCAGAAGAAAACAACCGGACGTTGTTCTAATGGCATGCTCATGATTGATTTCATACGTATATAATAGATATCTTTATATTTCTCTAATTAACTGTTTGTATAAGCCATCCTCCTCAATGGGAGTGATTATGGATTCGAAATGTGGAATTAGCATTATATCCTCATGGGGTGCAACTTTTCTCGGACTCCACGTGAATGCGGGATGATTCATGTACTAAGCTGTATGATTGTTTCTATGCTTGTTTTTTTGTTCACAGCACTATAGAATCAGGTCTTCCTCTTCTAAATCCCTACAAGGATCAAAATGCAAATTTTAGATATGGTGCGAATTTTGCAGTAGTAGGAGCTACTGCTTTATCAACTGAAATCATGGCTGAGAAGAAGATTGTTATTGGACTCACCAATAGTTCATTGAATGTGCAACTTGATTGGATGTCTTCCCATTTTAAAACCACCTGTTCCACCGGTAATTATTACTCTTAATTAATTTGCTAACTACTTTCTCTGTCTCAAATTATTTGTCGTATTTCTCTTTTATACATCTCTTAATAAAACATTAATTAGAAAAGGTATTTGAATATTTTACCTTTATTTTGTCTTAATATATAATCTCTCTATTAAATATTTACTCTATTTATGTGTTATCTTCATGTTCAAAATTATTACTATCAATGGTAAAATAGAAAAAATATACTAATTTTATCTTGAACTTCTAAAATGACAAATAATTTGAGACAACTACTTTTAGAAATCACGACAGATAATTTGAGACGAAGGGAGTACTTCCTTAGAAAATATGTTGTGGTTAATTATTTCTTACGTATTTATTAACGGCAAGTTGAATTAATGATATTTTCTTCTTAATTATTGCTAGATTGCCAAGCAAAATTGAAGAAATCTCTTTTCCTAGCTGGAGAAGTAGGAGGAAATGAATTCAATTATGGCTTACTGCAAGGTAAAACTATGAATGAATTGCGGAACATGGTGCCAGAAGTTGTTCAGACCATTATTCAGGGCGTTAAAGTGAGTTTTCATTTCTTTCTTTAATAAGTTTTCTTTGATTGAAATTGTTTTCCTAAAGACCCATTTACCTCTTTTATTCAGAGAGTCATTGGTTTCGGGCTACTCGAATTGTAGTCCCGGGCAATTTTCCAATTGGTTGTTTACCAATTTACCTAACGAAATTCAAGACTGACAACTCAACTGCCTACGATGAGTATCATTGCTTGAAAAATCTAAATAATTTGGCAATATTCTACAATTATCATTTGCGACAAGCCATTGAAGAGCTGAAGAAAGAGTACCCCAACATTACACTCATTTATGGTGACTATTACAATGCCTATTTGTGGCTACTACAAAATGCCGCGAGTCTTGCTAAGTGCTTAAAAATATACTTTATTTTTCCCACTTTTAATCGTAAATTCTTTTTTCCTGTTTTTCTAGTCAAACTTTCCACTTTTGCAAATTATTTTACATTTTACCCCTACAAAGCTCCTTCTTGAAAAATCAATTTGTCCTCCAAAATATATTTTTAAAATATACTTAATTTTCAAAAAGTATACTTTGACAGTTCTAAACTACACATATATGTATATTTAACGAAAAGTGTATGCATTCACATAAAAACTTAGCTTTCTTTACTGATATGCATTATGATATTGTAGGATTTGATAAAAACTCTATACAGAAAGCTTGTTGTGGAATAGGAGGAGAATATAATATTGACGCACATAAAAAATGTGGAGTTTCAGGAGTTGTGTTGACCCAAGTACATATATCAGTTGGAATGGAATTTATTTGACAGAACAAGCATATAATCAGTTGGCAAGGTGGCTAATTGATGACATGTTACCCAAATTAAACTGCCATTATGTTCATTACTCTTAATTTCTAGATAAAGTGTATGAATTTTGAGCACACATTCAAAATGAGCGACTTTTTTTGGCCAAATACTACACCACCTCCTAAAGTATTCATGATTTTCTATTTAGACTCCTCAACTAAGAGTTTGAACTACTAAATAGTTTAGGCACGTGAACAGGACGGAGGGTTCGTTCTCGATGTAATGGCGTGAAAAGTTGTGCCATGTGAAGTCTATGTCCTCTAAAATCAAACAGGATCAATTAAATTAGTAGAGCCATATAGTTTCTTCATCCTTTTTAGTAAATCCGAGAATACATATGAAGCCAGGATTTCAATGTTACGATGACTTATGTATTTTAGAATGACGATATCAAATGTTAATAATTGAGTTTTATATATATATATATATATATATATATATATATATATA